CTGCATACAAGCGGCAGCTCAACGCAGCCCCTTCTCCAATCGCCCGTGAGAAGATGATGCAGGAGCTCCTGGCGAAGTTCGAGGGCGTGCGCGACCCCTTGCGGACTGCGAACGTGTTTGGCATCGAGGAGATTATCGACCCGCGCGATACACGGCCACTCGCGTGCGAGGTACGCACTACCTTCTGTGCCCATGATACCGAGATCTCACCGTGGAGGCTGGTCCAGTGGCTGTCCCATGTATATACTCATTCACTACCGCCGCGGTTGCTTGCCAGGACCGCGACTGCCCCCGCGAAACCCAAGTACAAACTGTGAACCCTAGTACCATGTACCCAATCTACCTCCCAGACACCGCTCTCTCGACAGCTCTGGATGCGGGATATACTATACATGCCAGCGCGAACCCAACGAGGACGCCAATGTCGCCTGTCCCCGCGTTGGCGATCGGACCCGCGTACCATGCCTGCGACATGCACGGGACGATGATACCACATGCGCAGAGGAAAGCGAACAACGCTGCGATGCCGAGTGGGAGTTCGCGCGGTTTGCACCATTGCGAGAGGTCGTAACGCGCCCACTCGTTCTTACGGAAGACGAAGTGCTCGACGAGGACGATGGCTGCGAAAATGGTGCTCCAGTATCCAATGACACCTGGTGGGACGACGCTGTGAGCGCTTCGACGGCGGCGGATACGGAGGGGACCTACTCAGGACATCGACGAACGTCGTGTAAAACTGCTTCGCCCCGACGATCGCCACTGGGATGAGGCTAAACAACCCTCAGTACACAGACTTCTCCGCGGGTTACGAGATGCCTACATCGCCTCAGAAATAATTGTATACACGTATCGCGGCACCCTGGCGAACCATACGTGGATAGTCATCAAACTAGATGCGAAGGTGTACATCGTCGGGGCGCACGCGCTCGGGATGGACAGCGCGACTAGCACGGTCAGGAACTTGCCGAACCCACCGGAGGCAGAGAGCACGGCCTCGATCAGGCCGCCAACGCTGTTCCCCCCGTCGAAACCAGTTTCCCAGGAGGGCACTCCCGGGGCGGCGGCGGCGAAGGCAGCTCCCAGAAAGTGGGCTGCGAGCTGTTCATACAGAGTGAATCAGGATCAAAGTCGCGGTTATGACCGTCACTTACACTTGCAATGAGGAACCCGGCGTAGCTATAGAGAAATACTCTGGTGCTGCAATGCGTGGGCAGGTCAATAGTGAACATTCGCGAGTGTAGCTGTGCTCACCTAGAAGCCTTGTTTGTATGGTAAACGCCGTAGTCGGGTGTCATCATGCACCAACTGATGACACTGGACGCGGTCGTAGTGGCGAAAGAGAGCACAGAAGACGCAGACGGTGCAGGGACGGATGGCGCTTCCGTTAGGTGCTTGCCTCCCAGCCCGAGCATCACTACGAATGTGATGACGCTCGGGATCCAAGCAATCGTCTCATACCTAGCTGGGAGGGTTACAATAGTACCACATGCGCAAAAGCGGGAAAAAACCTTACAGGTGAATCACACGGTACCCGAAGAAAGTGACCTTTGGACACCTCGTCAGATCCTTCGGCGCATTCAGCTTTGCGGCGACCTACCACGAGAGATAGCACGCCTATGATGACGATGCCGAGGGTATCATCCAGGTGGGAGGAGACACTGGCCAACGTCTGGCCCCCGATGATGCAGTTCAGGATGAGGAAGCCCTGCATCGAGAAGACGGTAAATGCGCTCGGGAGGATCGCCATAAAATATCTGCATTGACGGTTTCAACGGGTAAACAGCTGACCGTCATAAGAAGCTTACCCCCACGAATACCGCGCGAGGACCATGGACCGCATGCCGAGTTTCGGACCGAACACGGCGCTGTATGGGATGACCAAGCGCATGAGAACCGCGCACCAGTACGGAACCCGAGACTCAGCTATCTTACAAGTAAGCTGGGATAGCGCAAGCGCTAGGAGCATGTCAAAGCGGGTCCCGTTATCTCTCAGCTATGAGACGCACATGATGTCCACGACAAGGATGATGATGAAGGAGTCTCGTAGCCCAAGACCAAAGAATGCGGGACCCGCAGAGCCTGTACCGAATCTAGTGAATGGAAGTGCTGAGCGTTGAGCGCCATTTCGTGGTACTGCGAATTCGTGTACGCACGCGAGGATGTTTATATTGGCGGAAAACCATACGAAGAACATTTGGTATAACTTGGTATCTGTACGTTCTTCAGGTGGTATAGGATCAATCCTACACAGGCAAACTAGCCCGTCAATCATTGCACCGGAGTAGTCCCTGTGAGCACAAACCCATTTGTTTCGATGCCCCAACGAGTGAGGAACTCGGTCACGGTCGTGGTCCACCGTTCCCGGGGGCGGTTAGTGGAGTCGCTTTCCGTAACGCTACCCGACTTCTGATCTTCCATATTATCCATGGCGAGTGGCGTGTGGGGAGAAGCGAAGGAGGAAAAAGTTTTGTAAGGGCGGCACTCGTATCATAACTGAACAGATTGGTGCACGTGAGGCTTCCAGGGTGGAAAAACAGGCGCTCGATCGCATGGGCAGAACGAGTCAGATGCGGATGATGGGCCGAGACCATTGGGTTGAAGTGTGGTTGCGCCGGTCCTCGGATGTAGATGGGAACACAAGATTCCTGACGCGCTGTTTTGTGTCGCACTACAGTATTCGATTTGTGGCCGTGCTCATAGATGGGGTAAGCGTCCACTCACGTTTGCGGGAGGTGGGGCCCGGGAGGATAATCATAGTGACTGCTGCTGCTCATGCTCTTCGACAACCTGAAAAGCGTGATTAGCCGGTGAATATGAACATGGAAAAAGCACCTACATCCTGAAGATGCTCTGGCTCCCAGCGCATCTCAACTTTGTCCAGTTGTTCCTCCGGGAGATACCATTCCAAGACGGCGAAGAACAAGCAGTCAACAAGCAAGATGATAGAAAAGATGATCCCAGCAAAGGGTCCCAAATCTAGCGTCCTGTAGGGGAGATCAAGTCTCAAAACTGATCCATCACTTTCACGCCGCATCTGGGTACCCACCGCCGCAACCGTGTCCAGAAATCATAGGGTGGAGAGCTCATGGCAGACTCGTATACGGATTCTGTGCGCCTCGTAATCTCTTTCCAGTCATAAAAGTCCTTGATCCGCTTGTGAGCTTGGAACGGGTCGTGCTTCCCCAAAGATACTCGTTCTATCGCCTCTGACATGGCGCGGATAACATCTGAACAGGGGATCATGAGCAAACGCAAGATCATGAGGAGTATACAGGCCTGGTTTACCGTCTTCGTCAGGGTTCGCGAAGGAGATCATATCTTCAGGGAGGATTTCTGGAACGCCGCCGACACGGGTGGATACGACATAAAGACCAGCACATGCAGCCTCAAGGATGGCAATGCCGAACGCCTCGGTGAGTGACGTATTCATGAATATGGAGCCTTGGGTGAGCACCTGCGGAAGTATCTCAACATGCCCGAGCGGAAAGTAGACGACATCACGCACGCTACGGACATCACTGTGACGGACCGGTCCGAGCATCTCGATACGGTCCTGGAGGAGATGCTTCTCCCGCATTTGGAGGAGGTCGATCATCTTGGGCCCGTCACCACCTGTGCTCATAGCGATTAGCATACTCTCAGTGAGACAGAGGGCCGCTGTCGTCTATTGCACACTCACCAATGAGAAATTGTACGTTCGGAAACCGGGCGCATATCCGGGGTGCAGTTGCCACCAACAGATCGACACCTTTCCTGTATGCTAAACGTGAAAGCACCACCACTTTGACTGTGGGTGCTTCTCCGTCAACTTGGGTCTGCACGGTGAGACTACAGGCTTCACTCACTCGTGTCTCCGGAAGGCGGGGAGGGTGATGGCTTGAACTGATCGGCCACAAGAGCGTTGGGTATGACATACACGGTTTCTGGTCGCATCCTTGCCCTCAAAACCGTATTTTCACGGCTGTTTGAGATACGTGAGCATATGTTCTGCAATGAGTATTACGGAACAAATGCCCGTACCCTGTATGTGAGACGCATATAGCCGCGTCGACATTGCGCAAGGCCGCTTCGAGCAGCTTGTTTGTGAGGATGCTAGCAGCATCATCAAAACCGAACAGGCTATGATCCGTGAAGACGGTGCGCACGCCCATGAGGTACGCGTGGAGAATCCCTTCGTGTGCCAATGACGAAAGGCTGGCGTGTCCATGTATGAGTTGTATGCCCTCGCGAAGAACAATTGTCCGGAAATATGGCAAGAAAGTGAAGTAGTTCGGGAGAGTCGCTGAGGATGCAATGGTCGGGAATGGGATATAGTACACCTTAAGCGACGGAAGCAGCCACCGCACGCCGACACGGTCTGGAGGGTGGCTGTGTGTCACCACGATAACCTGCCAACATGTAAACAACGCGCTCGCCATGCGCGTTTGTTCTCTGCCATGCTCACCCTATGCCCCCGACGGATGAGGTTCGCGCTCAACATGTATATGTGGTTCTCGACCCCGCCTACGTTGGGGTGGAAGAAGTCGCAAACCATCCTGTTAACATTCATGCGTGGTTAGTTACCGGTCGAGTGATGAGCAAGATGAGTTCCTGACGCGATGTTGATTCCCATGCTGTAATAAATAGTAATCTTGAATGAGGCTCGACCATAGGCCTGAATATAGTCGAGTCTAAACTCGCTGGCTCCCCTTGGGGAATTGTTAGTCTGCAGCGGAATAAGGCGCTCTGAAGGGAGATCGACGTGACGGCTCACGGCACAGCGGAGTCTAGTGGCGGAGGCTAGATTGGGCGCGATGCGTCTTGCTCTCGCCACCCGGCATCTCTGCATTCTGCACTCCGCTGATCCGTAACCCACAATTTCGACCTCCGCGGACGGGTGCTTAATCCATACTTATCAGACGTCCGTCGTTCTTGCATTTTAGATGTCTGCGTGCGGGGACCCCTCGTTTGGCAGTTGGACATAGAGTACATGCTACGTAACAACTACTGTCCCCCCTAACGGTTCGATGGTGTAGTTGGTTATCACGTCTGTCTCACATTTGCGACGAGCTGCAGAACGTGTGCACAGGAGGTCTCCGGTTCGAACCCGGGTCGAACCCCTTTTACTTGGTTAATTTCTGTGACTTTTTTGACATTTTGGCACATGTAAGTACAGCGTCGATGTGGCTTTTTGTTTGCAACCTACAGTAAAGGGATATTTGATAGTCTGTTTCCTTAGAACTTTGTGATTGTAAAAATAAATGGCTTCTTGTCAGTAAACTTTGACTGTTAGCTTTGAGTACCCACTTACACATGAGAGTGGTGTAAATGCATCAGCAATCTTGGACGTTCTCCCGCCGCCAAGGCGATAATTACCGCGGCGCAGCGGCAAGCAGCCAGTGCAATCACACAGCCGCGCGACTCCGCGAGCTGGCTGTCGGCGGCGCACGTTCTCTTAATCTTCTCTTGTTATTCTTTCCCCTGACTCGCTTGTTTCATACGGTGTTCTCTTTCGTTCGCGCACTCATCATGGCCTCTCACGACAAGCCCGAGCTCGTCGACGAGGACGCCCCGGGGCAACCCATATCGGTGCCCGACAGCACCGAGGCGGGGGAGAGTGGCAAGCTCAAGATGATCGTCCAGCTCGTCAAGAAGTGCCTCGGTGTCAAAGACATTGCTGCAATGTACGTCGCTGGGTGCCCCTGCTCGCACAATCACCCTTCTGACGACGTGGGCTAGGCGACTGTCGCTCCCAGCGTCGCTGCTTGAGCCGATCCCGAACCTCGAGTACTGGCACTACCTTGATAGACCGGACCTCTTCGCTGCGTAAGTGGCCGGTAGCGTATGAATGGCTGTTGGGGCTCACGTACATGCAGCATCAACGATTCTGACGACCCTTTCGAGCGTATGCTGGCCGTACTCCGTTTCACCTTCTCGAAGGACCTGAAGTTCATCGTGGGTCCTCGCTCGCACGTGTCGTAAGGTGCACGGTGTTCTGACGAGTGTTTCAGAAGGGGAAGGTGTGCAAGCCGTACAACTCGGTGCTGGGTGAGCACTTCCGGTCGCACTGGGACGTGATTCCCGTGTCCTACCCCTCGGATCCGTGCGAGCCGCCCATCCAGCACCTCTACGTCTCCCCGCCCGTTCCCGAGGACACGAGTGGCGGATGGCTGTCCGGCCCCGGGACGCACTCGATGCCCGACGTCGCGCACCCGTCGCTCTCGGAGAACGCAAGCATCAGGAGTGGCAAGAGCGGCAAGAGTGCGTTCAGCCGGTTCAGCTTCATGTCCCGCGGCGACGCCGCGACGGCCAAGTCGACGCCTGCGACCTCGCCCGAGCTCGGGGAGACGAACCTGGAGGCGGGCATGTCGAGCCTGAGCCTCGCGAACGACCAGGCGTCGGGCGTGGCCGACCTGCTCGAGACGGACGAGTCCGCGGCGGACAAGCCGCGGGTGCGGATCGCGTACCTGACCGAGCAGGTCTCGCACCACCCGCCCGTGTCGGCGTTCTACGCGTCCTGCCCGAGCCGGCGCGTCGAGCTCGCGGGCGTCGACCAGATCTCGGCGAAGGTGTCCGGCACGACGCTGCGCGTCATGCCCGGCGCGTTCAACAAGGGCATCTTCGTGCGCCTCACGGGCCCGCCCGGCGGCGCGGGCGAGACGTACCACATCACGCACCCCGTCGCGGCCGTGAACGGGCTCCTGCGCGGGAGCTTCTACGTCACCGTCGGGGACTCGACGATCGTGACGTGCTCCGGGGGCGGCGACGGCCCGAAGCTGCGCGCGATCATCGAGTACAAGGAGCAGTCGTGGCTCGGGAAGGCGCAGTTCCAGTGCGAGGGCGTCATCCACACGTACGACCCGGCGGAGAGCGTGCACGAGGAGTGGACGCGGGTGAAGCACGTCCCGCAGGAGCGTGTGCTGGCCGTGTTCGACGGCTCGTGGCGGAGTCGGATCCGCTGGAAGCGCGTCGACGCGCCTGACAGTGAGTACGCGACGCTGCTCGATCTCTCGACGCTGCACGTCGTACCGAAGGCGGTGCGGCCGCTCGAGAAGCAGCTCCCGAACGAGAGCAGGAAGCTGTGGGAGAACGTGACGAGCCGGCTGCTGAAGAAGGAGTACAGTGAGGCGACGAAGCACAAGCTCGCGATAGAACAGAAGCAGAGGGACGAAGCGGCGGAGCGCAAGCGCAAGGGCGTGCCGTGAGTGGTTCCAAGTGTTTTCTCTGTTGGAAACCGCTCATCGTGCCCGACAGATTCGTCCCGCGGTACTTTGACCCTGACATCTCGAGCGGTCTCCCTACTCTCACCGAGGAAGGACGCAAGGCTCTCGAGGAAGAGTTCAAGGAGCCGGCGGAGCACAAACTAGAGGCTGAGGAGGAAGAGGCTCCGGCGACGCCTGCGGCCGGGGATGCCTCGAAGGCATGAACATCACGATCTACACGAATTTGCACATTCGACCCATCTGCCGGTTTCTTGGCTGTATTATACGATACCACTGACCGCCTCCCTTTGGCTGCTCCTCGCACGGACACTAGTACTGAGATAGGCGCACGCTGTATGAACCGGAACGGAGGTAGTAATGCTCTCGAGTTGCATTGTAGGTAGCAGCAAGTCTCTGTCTGTAAATACATCGCAGTGCTTTCCAGACATGCGCGGGGGTGATCTGCCGTGAGTCGCGAGCGGTGAGTACGCGCTCGCGGTCGGGTAGATGATAATATGTTGAGCGCCCCGATCGTGTCGAGTCGACCTGGCCAGTCGACGCGTTTCTCTGTCGCGTCACGACTGCGACGACCTCCGCCTCCTGCCTCCTGGGCTCCCTGTGCGACTGGCTACGCCGAGTACGTGCGAATGCTCGCTCCGAGGGCCGTTGTCCGACGCGCCCCTCGAGCTCGAGCAGCGCGGGCTATTCAAGTTCTATCGCAGCATCTGATAACATCTCCGCCCTCCAAAACAGTCGAGTCAGTCCCCAAAGGCGCTTGCTCTCCTCGCGCTCAGCCGGCTCCTGCTCCTTATCCTCTCCTCCGCCCCTCCCTCTCTCGCTGCATCCACTCCGCTCCTGCTCCTGCTGCCAACATGGCCTCCCTGGCCTCCGTCACCGACTCGCTCTCCAAACTCTCCATCGCCCCCGCCGCGACCGTCGCGCACGCGCCCACCAACTCCCCCCAGTCCTGGCGCGAGGCCCTCGAGGCGAGCCCCGACGCCCCCAAACCCTTCGAACTCATCAAGACGCTCGTGTACAAGCCCAAGACCGCGAAGACCGCAACGCCCGTGCCCGTGTTCGTGATCGCGCGAGAAACGACGGATGTGCCCTCCGGAGTGCTCGGCAAGACGCTGAATCTGAAGGACCTCCGTCTCGCGTCCGAGGACCTCCTTAAGGACTTTTTCAACCTCGACAAAAACTCTCGTGAGTAGCTTCGGCTTCCAGTGGTTTGTTGAAAACTATGGGAGGGGTCGCGGGGTTAGTATGGGGGGCTTTATCACCCAGAGTTGTTCTTTGCGGTGCATGCTATATGAGAGCTCATGAGGCAATCTAAATCGTTACTACAAGCTATCCTGGTTGTGAGATCTGCTCGAGACGTTCTACGAGACACCCTGCTGCGCTTTTCAATGCTCGGTCTATACAGTAAATTCTGGGCACAAAGGACAACGGATGTACAGCACCTCAATCCCACGATAAAAGGGCGGCGCTGCAGAGTGTCCTGTAGGACGTCTGGCGTTCTCCAACTCATATCAGCACCTGCAAAGTGTCTAGGATCTTTTGGCTGGAGGCGAAAGGCCAGAAGGGATTGGAACACGCCTATCGCCATACCACACAGCCTGTATCACGAGTACTGACCATACACCAGTATCCCCCCTCGCCCTCACCCCCCAGACATATCCCAAGATCACGACTGTGATCGACTCCGCAATCGCGAACTCGACATCAACATTCGCGGTGCGCGGCCTCTCCTCCGAGTCCACCGTCTTCCTGTCCGGCAAGGACCTGTACGCATACGTCAAGCAGCTCGCGGCCGAGGGCGCGCCCGCGCTGCATGAAGTCGACATCGCGACCCTGCAGGCGACGGCGAACGAGGCCGCCGCCTCAAAACCGGCCCCCACTGCGAAGAAGGCGAAGGAGGACGCGAAGATCGAGGGTGCGGTCCAGATCGCCATCGGCGTGAAGAAGGAGGTCGACTTCCCGACATGGTACACCAACGTGCTCATCAAGGCGGACATGCTTGACTACTACAACGTCAGCGGCTGCTACATCCTCAAGCCCTGGTCGTACAGCATTTGGGAGTCCATTCAAGGTGGGCAGCCCGCAGGGAGCGTGTGTAGGCTCTTCCGAAAGTGACCCGCTTTGCAGACTGGTTCAACGGGAAGATCAGGGCGATGGGCGTGCAGAACGCGTATTTCCCCATGTTCGTCTCGTCAAAGGTCCTGGAGCGGGAGAAGGACCACGTCGAGGGCTTCTCTCCGGAAGTTGCATGGGTCACGCGAGCGTAAGTAGTCTGAATGATCGTGAATACAACATACTGAATTTCGTCTCTAGCGGCAACTCAGACCTCGAAGAGCCCATCGCCATCCGTCCTACCTCCGAAACCGTCATGTACCCTTGTGAGTGCTATACGTTTCAGCCATGATCACTAATAGCCTGACAAGCCTGTAGACTACGCGAAGTGGATTCAGAGCCATCGCGACCTTCCCCTCAAGCTCAACCAATGGAACAGCGTCGTTCGTTGGGAGTTTAAGAACCCTCGTATGTAGTCTTGAGTGAGGGTCCCGTGCAATACAACGCTAACAAGGATGCCAGAGCCCTTCCTCCGCACCCGTGAGTTCCTCTGGCAAGAGGGCCACACGGCACACCTCACGAAAGCCGAGGCCGACAAGGAGGTGCTCGAGATCCTCGACCTCTACCGCCGCATCTACGAGGAGCTCCTCGCCGTCCCCGTCATCCCCGGTGTCAAGTCCGAGAAGGAGAAGTTCGCAGGTGGCCTCTACACTACCACCGTTGAGGGCTTCGTGCCCACGACGGGCCGTGGCATCCAGGGCGCGACCTCGCACTGCCTCGGCCAGAACTTCTCCCGCCCGGAGATGTTCAACATCGTCGTCGAGGACCCGAACGACCCCTCGGGCCAG